CTTAAGAAATTCATAAAACAGACTTAAAATAGAAGTCAAATGAAATAAAAATTTCAGTTTTCTAGTTTAAAATTTCATTGAAACTACCTTAATCTAAGAATTAAGGTAAAACTAACTTTGAGTACACAAATTTTGATGACTAGCATTTTTTATAATAATTTTATAATGCTTTCTTATCAGGTGGCTAAAATTGGCATTTTATACTGAGAATTGTTCAAAAGTAAACTTGATTTAAATGAAACATGTTTACTCTTGTAGACTATATTTGAAATTTCTTTCCGTGTAAACACTTCATTTTGAACGTAAATCTTTGATGTTATATTAAGAATGAAATACAAGAAAGATATTTGTATCTCTCTATTCGTGGGAGTATCACAAGACAAGTTACTCCTCCTCATTTCCAAATTCTTCAATTTCTTTTGAAATCTGATTAATCTAATCCCACATTGTCTGAGAATTTTATTTTTTATCAAAATTAAACAGAAAACTAAAATATAAACTATTACTTAGTTCTTCTTCAAACTTTAAAACAAACCACACCTACATCTTAGATGTCAATATTTCTACAAATTTCTATTTCTATGGAAACGGAATGAATTTGATTTAAATAAAATTAAATTATTAATCCTAAACGAAACGAAAATTAATCGTTTTCATCATTATAGTCCATTCCATAATCTAAAACAGAACAACAAAATGAAATCCAAAAATTCTGATTGGCCTTCCTAATTAATAAATTGAAGATAACAAAGAAACAGAGCTCATCTTAATTGCGCTCGTTTAACAGTGTATGTCAATCGACAAGTTTTCTAGTCCAATTCTCCACACCTTATTGACATGAGACAAACCCTTCGTTTCTTGTCTAACTTAACACACGTTTACTTATCAATCTCAAAATCAACAAAACGTCGAACATGTCCACTAAACGGTGCTACGTTGCGCCAAATCACATGACTTTAAGTTTGATTATAACGTACAGTTTAGGCGTGACCCGAGTCATCTGAGGACAAAAAGATGTGGAGGACAAACACACGCCCTCTAAATTAAACATATGGTCAAATATACCTCACTAGCGTTACCTGTACTGTGTCCACAAATACGCCCCATAAAACCACTTTTTTTTACTGAAAATCTACAAAATTCACGTTTTATTCCATCATTTAGTGAAAAGTCACAAACTTCAACTACAACATCTAATGAGAGATATTTTCTTTCTCTCCTGAATTTTTACCTCATTTCAAGAATTTTACTTGATTTATATTCAACTCAATTTCGAGTCAAAATTCTTTAAAATATTTTAAAATGTCTTTTTATGAAGAGCTATAAACTTTCCTAAATGTTAAAACATAAAACAAATTAATGTTAGTTTTTTATTTTTAACGACTCTACCTGAACAATTTAATCATCAGTCAACTCAATTCCATTATGAATTAATTATTTATCAAATTACAACTAAATTTAGAAAATCATATTTTTTTTTTTTGGTGTTATGTCTTCAGGTTTAAAATTAATATTAATTTCAAACAAAAATAATAATTTAAAAAATTCCAGATAAAACTTTGTAAGTTGATGTATTTAATAGTCTTGATAATGTATTATTTTAACTCGGTCACACCCAAATTTCTGATACAGAATCGTTTTTCATCAATAGAGTTAATTGTGAAGGTGATGTCTCGATGTTTACATCATTCCTGTTTTATATTACCATGGTAACCAGCCACACCCTTATCATGTAGCCCTAACACAAACTTTCTCTTAAATAAATCTCACAAATAGAATTTAGATAAAAATTAAAATAATTAAAGGTAGCACAAAGTTTAATTTGATAAGTTCTAGTGTCAAGACATTCTTTCAATTCTACTAAAACTAAGTGTCTGATAAGGTTACTATAGATATATATGGAACTTTGTATACTGACGTCATAAAATGCAAAGTTTTAGTGGGATTTCAGGAACCACATACATCTGATAGAAAATGGATTGATGTAATTCGATACTAATACACGTAAATATTTTAGAAAACCAAACCATTCCTTTGTTTGAAGAAGTACATTCATTAATATTTATTTTAAAATTCCTATGTTTGTCTGAATCTAAAACCATTTTCTCAAACCACACCTAGTCGATATCTTTTCAGATTTATTTCAAAATGTTAGTCTTTTTCACTGTACATCAAAGAAGAATGCATTTATCTTAAACTGCACTTTCATCCCTTGTTCAAATATTGAGAAACTGCACCTAAACATTAGTTATATTGAATAGAGAATTCTTTCTAATTTGAGTCTGAATCTACTACACCCTACCTTCCTTTCAAACAAAATAATATTATTACCTTATATGGTATGGTGTATTTAAGTGGAATTTATCAAGTACCTTAGTCAAAAATTCTCGTTAAACCATCCTTAAATTAACTACTATTCAGCAATATACACAAATGACGCATTATTAATTATTAATACAAAGCTTATCTAAAATATCGTGTCCAGATATCTACAGTAAAACAATTCTTTCCCCAAATAGGTTACATGTAACCCCGTGTTCTATTTCAACTTAAAATTTGAAAACTTTAACAAGAACAAAAGTTTGGAAGACACGTAACTTTGGAAGAACAAATAACAATTCAGCTAGAATGAAACAGAACTAAAAAAAGGACAGAAACCTGACAAAATATTTCAACTTTCGAGATATTATCAAATTTGACAAAGATGTCTGAAAGCTGATTATTCAAATCATGCGTGGAAATTCCAACAACCCACGCATCCAAAATCCGTAGTAAAACACGAACAATGACAAACATACACGAACTATGATTACATCATCACTTTCTGAGTATTACATAAATTGTGAGCAGTAAATAAAATCAAGTGAAATGATTGGTTAATACAAGAAATTTATATGTGAACAGAATTTCTAAATAAATCAGTTCGGAATTAGATGTTGGCACACATAACCGCTCATTCCCTACTTCTGTCTCAAAATAAACGTTGATTTTACATGGCAGTCTATAGCCAGCGATGGAAAGGATTCAATATAAAGAGTTGACTTCATTGACAGATATCCATTTATCATTTAAAATGTTGAAATCAAGTTTTCTCAGTTCAAAGAGTGAAGCAGTGAAGTCTGAAGATTGTAAATATCGTAAACACTTTGTATAAGATTCTTTCCATTGCTGATCATAGTAAATTAATATTGTTTATATGAGAGGAAATTAGCGTGTTGTGCAGGTGCTCGTAGTTCCCAAGTGTCTTATTGTATGTGAGATTAATTGAAAGACAATAACATAAACAAAAACAGTGCAGTGAACTAAATCACATTTGTCTCAAGGAATACAAATTAATTTTCACATAAATTACTGGTCCAAAATATCTGCCTTTATTCCAACCTCTGATAGCTATTTTAACAATTATCACTGACAACTTTCATAGCTATCAGAGGCTGGAATTGAGGCAGATGTTTCGGGCTAATAAATATCAAAATCAAATTTCTAAAAAATGTGGGGAGATATTTTCATCTTTCATTCGAAGAATTTAAATCCTTTAAAAGCAGCAGAAGTTAATATATATATATATATATATATATGGTAAAATATTGCTAAATCAGCAGTTTACAAATTAAGGAAGCATGTATTAGATCCAAATTTTCTCGTCCACAGAAGCACTGATTGTGGTATCAAAAATAAAATAAAATACAAGGAATATCAGCGAAAAATTTCCTCATGAATTTCCATAAATTTTTAAAAAAAAAAAATCAAGAAACAAAAGCTTGAATAAAATGATAAAATATATCAAACTAAGACTATTTTATAATTTTAAGAATTTTGCTAATTTGTGACTAGTTTAAATGAGTTATGACAAAGATTGTCAACTTGAAATAGTCATTTTTGAAAATGGTACCTTGAAGAAATAATTTTATCAAATTGCGTACGACATTGATAAATTTCAATTCTATTTTCTGACCGAGTAACAGTCGAACATTAATATAACTTTGATAAAATCAGCTTTCAGCACAAACAAACAAGTTAGACTCTAATCACTTTCTATGATAAAGCTAAACTCTTTGGTTAAAAAATCAAAATGAATTTTCATCGTTAACAAAATATTAATTAATTAAGATTAATTAAGATAAAATAATGAATATAATATAACAAATATTTACAATAATCTAAAATCACAAAATCTTCAAAAATCATGTAGATTTACAACAGTTATTCCCCTTAATAATAGGGGGCAGCACTAACTCATGAAGTTTCACTTTCGTTGCCATGAAAAACAAGATGGAAGTCCTTGACCTTTAGCAGCAGATGGTATTCAAATCAGCAGAATCAAACACAAAAACGTCAATCACTAAAACAATCAGGAATCAACCAATGAAAAATCATTTAACATCATTTAAAATGATAGGTTAGGATATAACAGATGATTTGATTGGTTGTTCACACTAAAAGACTTCATTCTCTTTCAGGATCTCAAATCCACAAAATGAAGGACAACAAATAGAGGAGAAATCAAACCTGGCTGTTGCCTAGCAACAATCACCATAACAAAAGAACCAGGCCTCCAAGGAAATGGACCAGAATCCAAAATGGTAGCACATACAAGGGGTGTATGACACTTTAACAAAAACACTCAACACTACAGTGCAGGGATCTAGAAAAATAAAAACATAAATATGTCCATTGAATAGGCAGGAGAAAAATATGGTCTCCTGTATCTAAATGGGCTAATGATGACGGACAATGCCCTGCAGTGTGCAATGAGAGAAGTTTTGCCAGGACGTTGTCTACTCAATTTCAAACTGTCAAGAGATCTTTAACATACACAGCCTGTAGTACACAGGGGTCTTGGTTTATTGTCACCATGTCAGCATCTCTTACCTGTATCACTCACAGAGAGCAACCAGGTTTAAAAATCTGAAGGTATTATCTTTTAGAATTATTTTTAAGGCAATATTCCTACTAAAATTAATCTCTTTGACTGAATCAAAAAACCAGGAAGCTTACCTTCAGTGGCGTTTCATGTGGAGTGACAAATGGTCTGACCGGGAGAACGCTCGATCACAGACTTGACATTTAAATGGTTTATCTCCAGTATGTTTTCTGTAATGTCGTGTTAATTCGTCAGAGCGAGCAAACCTCCATGTACAACCTTCCCAAGTACAGACGTATGGTTTTTCACCTGAAAATATCAAATGGATAATTAACATGGGGGTGGCCATGATTGTAGTTCTATGTTAGGGGACACACGAAAAAGAATTCCCTTTGGTTTCTTCTTATTGAGCTCATTTGGCAATTTTCTTTGAAAAAGCTCAAATAATGTGAAGTACCATCCATGAATCCATTTGTAAGAGAACAAACTAACATGTTCAGAATGGTGGGTTTGAAGTCAGCTCTTGTGGTAATTTTCCTTGGATGTGATCAATTCATGACAAGTGGTATCAATGAACTCACACCATTGCCATCTTTTAAAGCTTTTAAGAAACCAAACTAGATCTCACTCCTACCTGTATGAGTTCTTCTGTGAGCTTTTAAATGTGAACTTTTAGTATAAACTTTATTACAACCATCAAAATCACAGCGATGTACACGTCGTTTTTTCTGATGTTCTAAATACGTATCTAGACTGGACATCGGAGGCATAATATAAGGTGATTTTTTACTGTTATCCAGACGGTTAAACTGCCTGAAATCAACAAGAGGGAATGAAAAAATGTCAAACTTTTCTGCACCTTGTGGGCTAATGAAGACGGGCAATACCATGCAGTGTGCAATGAGAGAAATTTTGCCAGGACAGTGGCATTAGCCTGCTCTGTTTCGATTTTCAACTGTCGAGGGATCTGTAACATGCACATCCTGTAGCACACAGGGCCTCTGTTTATTATCCCATCCGAACGACTAGACGCTTTTTCCATGTCTGCTCATTTTCAGTAGAATTACATTTACAGGAACCGATACACAAACAAAATTTAGAAAACCTCTTTACAATCTCTTTCACATTTTTAAATCTTAAAACACTGCAGTCAATTATAGTGGATGAAAAATTAAAAGAAATATTAACTCACTCTGAGGCCTCTTTGATTCTTCGTAATGACAATAACCCAACATTTCTTTTAGTTGTACCACCTTCTTCATCTAAATATATAATATACATTGTTTTTATAAAATAACGAACTTTATAATCTATAGACCAAAACATCTCCCTCTATTCCAGTCTCTGACATCTATTTTGACAGTTGTCAACGGGTGTAGAGACAGAAAAACTAGGCTGTTTTATGGAGATTTTTCTGCACCTTGATCTAATGAATTGAAGTGTCATGTCGTGCTAATCCTTTATACTGTGTGAGTCTACTAAGGCAAGAAACACCATGCAGTGGACAATGAGGATGACTTGGCCAGGATAAGAGCACAAAACATTTGACTATATACTTCTTTTACTGACCAATCATGATTGTAACTCTGAAATGATTATTGATGACTGTAAAATGCTTACCTTTTTTGGGCAGTCTAAGATCTAGACATTCTGTAGATTCAGGTTCAGGAGAGGATGTGGTGCTTTCCATTCTTTTATTGATTGACAGGTCTATGGCTTCAGTCTGTACAGGCTGGAATCAAAATAAACTTGGTTAAAAATTTCTATTTTTGTGTATTTGAGCTCCATTGTTATCAGTACAGTGGATAGTGTCCCTAATGATGAGGTTTGATGATGCCACACAGAGTCCACATAGATAATATATTCATTAATTCTTTTTTCTGTCTGTTTATTCATTCTCTTATTCATTTGTTCATTCATTTATTTATTTGCTTATTCATTCATTCATTCTACTAATTGATTGATTGAAATTGAATCATTAAAGAATTTGATTTGATTCATAGTGTCTTCTATTCAGTCACCAATCAATAATTAGCCTATAGGAGTGTTTTAGATAGAGAAATATTATATATTATCAACTAGACCCATCCTATTTACATCATAAAGCTAGACTGTAGACACTAGGTGCTAGGTTTGTAGTTTTAATAATAATCAATTAGATTGTTAAAGAGACTGTTTCATCTGTTTGATTTTAAACTTGAGGCTTGATTCACAAAACTCAGGGTAACTCTGGCAAGAAAGTGGCATAACTGCATTCTTTTATGATTTCCAACTGTCGAGGGATCTTTAATGTGCAGCACACACGACCTCAGTTTATTGTCCGATATGGACTACAAGGCGCTTTTCCTGTCAATACCTCCTACGTATATCACTGACAAAGGGAAACCAGGTTGAAAAATCTGAAGGTATTATCTCATCTTATGCAGGGATTGAACCCTGGACCTTCAGGTTAGCGAGCAAGTGTTTAACTCATTGAGCCACCGTGGCTCTTGTCAATAAATGTGATCATTATTTGAGTTCTAGATTAGATTCAATGAAACAAGGTAGCCTTTTTTTCATAAAAACACCCTACTATTAGACTTGTATACAGGGGAAAACATAACAGTAATTTGGTTTTTTTTTATAATAATGTACTAACTATCCTGTTTAAATCAATGCCCTTCCCTTGAATGATAAATAAGTCTTGTCTTTAATAATAGAAGAATAAAATGAAGTGTACTTATTTTTGAGGATGTTTTTTTGCAAGTTATCTGTTTTTACAGGAAGTTAGAATAGAAATAAAATGAATGGCAACTTTTGTCTTACATTATGTCATGTTCCTAACTTCCCTTTCTTTCATATTTATTTAATGAAAGCTTAACCCCCTGGGAGACTGGTAAAAATAACTCGAGATGAAAACAACTTAAGATAATTAGTAAATCATTGTAGCTTTAATGTCTGGCATGTCTTCATCTTCCTAAAATGAATTTATGTCTTAAAAAGTTTTAAAAAAATTACATCTCTGACCTGTATCACTTTTAAGAAGTAAAATCAAAAGTTTACCTATCTAATCCATGAAAGTCCAGGAAGTTATGAACTCACAGACAAGTCGTCTTTTCTATAAACTGTGTCATATATAGAAAAGACATACATGTATATGTATAATTTTGAGGTAGTTTTGAAGGAATTATGCAATTTTTGTACATTTCTAGTACTTGTAAAGATTATTTACATATATTCAAGACTCAACTCAATTCGCCCCCGAAGACGAACCAAGGCTTATAAAGTAAAGTAAAAGATATTTACATTGGGTTGATGTTCCCAGTATAACCACTGGAATTCAGGTGATTGGTCCTCAGTCATTATCATTTCAAAGCTCTGATTGGTCACGCTGTTTAAACATTCGTGCAATTTTAATTGCAATTTAAATTACCCAAAATAAAATCTTGACTAAGTTAACACCAGTAATTTCTTAGTTATCCAAAAGTTAGACTATTTCAAAATTCTGAATTTCCGATGCCAATCACTCAATAAAATGTCACAGACGTAATTCCTTCATTATCCAAGACTTTCTGAATTAACAGCACCGGAACACATTTGAACAAGACACACATCGAATTCCAACTAAAGCAATGGCACCATGGATTCAAAAATCTCGATAACGATATTTCCAAAAATCCTCAAGTGAAACTCAAATAATACACTTGATGTAACAAAAGTGTTTGTATCTAATGATTTGTTCACCAATTCGATGTGTTTCAACACACCAGGGAGTTCACCAGCCAACTCCTAATCTTTCAACATTTAATTTTACTTTTCTTTCTTTTCTTATTTAAGAAAAAAACTTGACAAGAAGATCTCAAATTTGACCAAAGCCTACAGTACAAGCAGACACAGCCAATGAAATGACAGGATTCAATCTCCAAGGAAACTGAAGATTACATTATGTATGCCAAGTGGAAGGTGGAGTCGCCCGTGTTCAAACATTTTGTATCAACCAAAACGTCACACCTTCAATGCACTCCACATACTCAAAAGAGGGTCAAAGGTTACGACAGTTCTGCACAAAATGTTTGCACGCTGACGGCAAATCAACAAGACTTGTTGACATTATATAAACAATAGTCAACATCAGTTTCCTCTACTTTCATTTTCATTACTATGTTACTAAAAATATCCACAATTATTGAAATCTCATTAAAATTGAATTAAATTTAGGACTTATGATCAAATTATCTAGTCCACCATTAATAAAACATTGCATAAGAGAACCATGCCATTTAAAATTTTTAAAAAATTAACGAGTAATATCAATTTTGGAATTAGAAATATAGAATTATTAGTTTTTTTAGTTTTTTTGGATTTCGTTATCAGTTCAAATTGTTACTATTTGTTTTCGTATTTTATTGGAAACAGAAACCTAAGATGTTGTTGAGATTAATGCAAATTTTTGAATAATAAAGTTGGATAACTTTTGAAATAAACAGTAATTTTTAGATTTTATGGTTTAATAACTTTTGAAATAAACAGTAATTATTAAATTATAAAGTTGAAAAGTTTAATAACTTTTGAAATAAACAGTAATTATTAAATTATAAAGTTGAAAAGTTTAATAACTTTTGAAATAAACAGTAATTATTAAATTATAAAGTTGAAAAGTTTAATAACTTTTGAAATAAACAGTTATTAATAAATTATAAAGTATGATATCTCCTGGGTTTATAAGTAATAGATATTTGATATTATTAGTTCGTCTGTTTATTCAAGTCCAGGATCTCACTTCAGTTTATTAAATCTAGCATACAAAATAACACAGGTCCATTGGTAAGCTTGATTAACTTTCAATATACTTTTTATATACATCGCTATAGGTAGCACAACCATTTAGACGACACACCCCATTAGCTAGCAACAATGTTGATTTGTTCCCGGCGGTTAAAGGAGAAAACACCCGCCTGATTAGCATAACCTGTCAATGAGATGAACGCTTAATTAAGGATTTAACACCAGAAAGAGACTTCGCGAATAATTCCCAGATTGTTGTTCAAGTTTTTGTGTCAGTTCAGAAATTTCAATATTGACAGAAAACGGGCAAATTTAATTTGTTTGAAAATGTCTACATCCATACGTAAACTTCGTGAATGCGGACATATTTTCTTTAAAAAAACCAACACCTTAGAAAGAATAAAAGATTGAATTGAGTGTGTAGAAGAAAAATGGCCAAGTCCACCCCTTAAAGTGACACTTAACCAACCTCTCATTGGTTAATTCACATCGTCGTGACAACAGATATTCCAAAGTGTATCAACATTGACTAACGGGCGTGTTTTGTTTAATCTGATTTTAGTGTGATCCTTCCTTTCTAAATAATTCACCCAATTACCCCTCGTTAATTTACGTATTTCTCTATCTATAGCTACTATCAGCTTTCAAGGGATTTTACCCCTTGTTAATTTATGTATTTCTCTATCTATAGCTACTATCTGCTTTCAAGGGATTTTACCCCTTGTTAATTTATGTATTTCTCTATCTATTGCTTCTATCAGCTTTCAAGGGATTTTACCCCTTGTTAATTTACGTATTTCTCTATCTATAGCTACTATCAGCTTTCAAGGGATTTTACCCCTTGTTAATTTATGTATTTCTCTATCTATACCTACTATCAGCTTTCAAGGGATTTTACCCCTTGTTAATTTACGTATTTCTCTATCTATACCTACTATCAGCTTTCAAGGGATTTTACCCCTTGTTAATTTACGTATTTCTCTATCTATAGCTACTATCAGCTTTCAAGGGATTTTACCCCTTGTTAATTTATGTATTTCTCTATCTATAGCTACTATCAGCTTTCAAGGGATTTTACCCCTTGTTAATTTATGTATTTCTCTATCTATAGCTACTATCAGCTTTCAAGGGATTTTACCCCTTGTTAATTTATGTATTTCTCTATCTATACCTACTATCAGCTTTCAAGGGATTTTACCCCTTGTTAATTTACGTATTTCTCTATCTATACCTACTATCAGCTTTCAAGGGATTCAACCCCTTGTTAATTTCATTCGTTGAGTTAGTGAAAGCTATTATAATGAGGTTTTCTCAACTTTTTATATCATGAATTTGCACCATTTCTGTGATTCCCGCCATTCCACTAAAACTAAGTATTAGATGACGTTACTATTCCAAAAGCTGCTAATGATATACATTGCATAAGGACCTTTGTGACAGTGACATCATCAAACACTTAGTTTTTGTGGAATTGTGGGAATGACAGACGTCAGATTGAAAATTGGAATGATGTACATTGATGTTATCAGTGTCCACAGTATAAATAAAAAGTTTAGAAAACCTCTTTACAATCTCTTTAACAAACTCAACGCTTGAAATTGGCGAGGGGTAAAATCCCTCTAAAGCTAACAGTAGGTACAGACGGTGAATAACATACTTTGTTTAAGTGGTAGGTATAACAAACAGGAGTTACGAAGCGAAATGACTACACCCCTCTAAATAAACAAGGGGAGTAACTGGGGACACGATTAACGACATACTTATCACCTAACTCCTTGTTCAACAAGCTCTTCAATTTAAAAGGAGAGAAACTCTAGGTCACTGTTATTTATCTATGAAAGAAGAGCTGTTATTATTCATGAGCTTAATACTGGGTATTAATAATTATAAAAGGTCGATTTAGGGGTTGAATACCTGCATTGAAATATGATGGGTCTTTTATTGACGGTACATTGAACATCTATTCAGTATCAGATAGACTTGTGGTTAAATGAATATTAATTCAATACTTTAAGAGGTACAAAGGTTAAAATAAATGTAAACTGTTCAATTTCTAGAAATAATATTTACTCTCCACTTACTTCAGGTGTTCAATAGATTGCGTTTAATCGTTATATTTTTAAAGGTATTTTAACACCGAACTTCAAGAAGGAGTAGCATATGTATTCAATTGTAGACTTACCTGGTGTAGTAATCATACAACATTAATCCCAATTTATTTTATGGATTTGTCAGATTATGCAGGGATTCTGTTGTATAGTTAGGACACCAGCCACTGGTGAATATAAACCATTAAAGCATTACCAATGTTTGATAAAAACTGTCAGTCAACCTGTTTTACTAACAAGAATTAGGCTGTGCACTTCCTATTAAAGGGAGATTCTATAAAATTCCGTACAAGCAAAGCAATTCCATTAAAGAAAATCTCGACCAAAGTAGGGTAAAATCAAGAGTAAAAGTTGTAGTAGTGGATTCCTCTCAAAGAGGAGAACCATCAGGTGTTTCACCTAGTTCTACACGTTTAAATGATCTCAGAATCTCCCTTTAAAACCATTGCGTAATTCAGACTTGTATTTATGTCTTCCTCTCTATTGAAGAGAATCTATTCATTTTAAAAATATAGAATATATTGCGAAATCTGCATCATAAATCAAAAACAACTTCAATCTCTTGGATGCCATCTTCGATGAAAAATTGGAATTTTGCAATCAATTGAGGAATATATAGCTGGGGTCTTGAATAACAAAATAGGGAGATAAATAATAGAAATGCCTGATGTACAAAAATATTAGAAATGGAACCAGGTACTCCATTTTGAACAATATTTAATGATAAAGTATGTTAGTTTTTATGTGAAATGATGTTTGTTTTGTTAACTCAGTATTTCTTTTAGAGAATGCACATAGCCAATATTGTGTAAAAATTTCTCTATTCCATTTTTATTAGAAATGAGGTCATCCACCAAAATGCCCCGAAACACTTAAAAATTAAACATTGGTTTCACTAACATTATCAGTACGTAAGCATAATTGATCATGTGACAAACATGTTTGTGGCGTGATGAATTGACATTACAGACCAAGGTCATTATTTTATTTGAACAGTTACTTAATTTTCCACAAATCTCAGATCGCTTCAATGTTTTGCTCTGAGATGTATTCATACGCCATATTGTCACATGACAAACTACAGATTATGTCAAAATAAACGTCAGTTTGCATAACTGGTTTATAGAAGAGAGTGATAGTAGAAATGTAAATATTTACCTTTGGTGATTTGTTGCTAGGTGATGTCGATGAGGAAGATGGCGTAGATCTGTCGTCTGAATCTGAGCAATGAGGTTCTGATTTCACTGGCGTAGCATCGACATTGGCTGCTTCGTGTCTTCCCACATAAAAATTACTGTTCACATACTCCATAGCTTCGTTCATGACAATGACCGGTTCGTGTTTGACGGCAACCGGTTCTTGTCTGACGACAAACGGTTCTTGTTTGATCACCACATCCTTTTCTGAGCCGCTTTCGTCCAATTCACCATTGGACGCTTCCAACTTCATTCTCTTTTTCAAGGCGAACATTTCACCCACTGTTCCAATACCGTTGCTAGGGCTATGACTACGCTTGGCAAATGCTGATTTAATTTGACTTAGTTTGATTAACGGAACTTTCGACTCACTGTATTGTTTGTACAGGGGAGATAAGTTCAAACCCTCACTAGAGGGAGACAACTCACTGTAAACACTGTCGCCTGTATTGGGCGATAACGAGCGCGGACTGCTTTGATTACTATTAAGACCTGATGATTGAGAGCGAATATCTGTAAGTAGCTCTGATTGTCCAGTAGTTGTGTATGTATTTTCGTTCATAGCTGATAAATCATGCTGAAAAGAGAAAGAAAAGTTCAATCAATTTCTTATGGAGAAGGCAAAAAGATTTGAATCTATCCAGGATATACACAAATATCATAGCTACTTGTACAACAATAATATTGTGTTTTTACCTGGTTAAAAAATCAGTCTTAAAAAGGTTTTTTCAATTTACCCATTCCCTATTTTAAATACCAAATGGTAGAACTCTTAACTAAAATTTCAGTGCAGAAGGGAAATCAGTCTGAGCTCTAGATCTCTCAAGACAGGTTTTATACCCAGATCATCATAAATATTGACTACATTACTTGCATACCCAGTCACATACAGGCGACCAACCCACTGACAAGCTATAGACAGTATCTTTAAACAGCCAACCAACCCACTGACAAGCTACAGATTGTATCTTTAAACAGCCGACCAACCTACTGACAAGCTATAGACTGTATCTTTAAACAGTCGACCAAACTACTGACAAGCTATAAACTGTATCTTTAAACAGCTGACCAACCTACTGACAAGCTATAGACGGTATCTTTAAACAGCCGACCAGCTCACTGACAAGCTATGGAATGCATCTTTAAACAGACGACCAGCTCACTGACAAGCTACAGGCTGTATCTTTTAACAGCCGACCAACCTACTGACAAGCTATGGACTGCATCTTTAAATAGACGACAAGCTCACTGACAAGCTACAGGCTGTATCTTTAAACAGCCAACCAGCTCACTGACAAGCAAGTTGAAATGTCAATAGACGACTTGATGTCACCTAGACATATTATATTATCTATCTGTCAACTTTTTAACCTGTCCCTGGTCTACCTTATACCAATTTATATAGCTAAGTTCTTAACTTTTAACCTAAAACCTAACAACTTTGTCTTATCACTTCATTTCTTTTTCTATTTCACATACTTTCTTTTCTTTTTCTATTTCACATACTTTCTTTTCTTTTTCTATTTCACATACTTTCTTTTCTTTTTCTATTTCACATACTTTCTTTTCTTTTTCTATTTCACATACTTTCTTTTCTTTTTCTATTTCACATACTTTCTTTTCTTTTTCTATTTCACATACTTTCTTTTCTTTTTCTATTTCACATACTTTCTTTTCTTTTTATATTTCACATACTTTCTTTTCTTTTTCTATTTCACATACTTTCTTTTCTTTTTCTATTTCACATACTTTTTTTTCGATTTCACATATTTTTTCATTCACTTTTGGCACATTTTATATGATTTTTGTTCAATTTATTGCATGATTTTCACTCACTTTTCACTCACTTCAAGTTCTATACAGAAAACCCAACAGAGCCGTGAAACATGGTACAATAAATTAGGACATGTCAGTTCAAACAGAATGCTGCTACTTCTTAAAAATAAAATGAACCAAAATGACATTAGGAAGTGGGCAATGCCATTAAGTAAGTAATAAAGGAAATTTTGACAGTACATACGTTAGGCCAGCCATCCAACTATTCTAAAATACAGGGCCTCTGTTTCACAAGGGATCTTTAACCTGCACATCTTGTAGGACATCTTTAATCTTAACAACTTTCTAGCATATGGTATATAATCCTTTAGTGACAATTAGGGGTAGAGATCACATTAAAAAAACAGATAATGGTATACTACTCCAGAGTTTTATTGTGTTTGTCTCAACAATTTACATCGGATCTTTAACCTGCACATCCTGTAGGGCCTCAGTTGCAGAAGATTTCAAAAGCATTCTTTAAATCCCAGTTTGTCTCTTTAATGAGTGAAAACAAAGTGGAAGTAAACCGTGCAGTATTTAAACAAAAGACAAGAGACAAGGAGAGGCTTAAAATTCACGTTTTACTGTTAATTCAACATTTTTAAACTAAATATCAGCCTTGTGTACATCAGTTAATTTTTTTCTTATGACGTGTTTGTCCGGATATCTTAAAATTTATTTCAATGAATAATATAGTTACTAATTTTAGATTTTAGGAACAATTTCAACTTATAACAAAATAATAAATACGTCAAATTTCAACGTTAATTTCTTTAAATAAAGGAACACAATTTTATAGTATATTACTCTTCGGTTATTTTTTATATAGACTGAAAATAAAAACCTCCATATCTAAAATAGAGAGCCCCGAATTAACATAATTAAATATTAGTTCGTGTGGCACCCAATAGCTTCTAGCGGTTCACGTAATTCCTATCAATCAAATTAAACAATTAATATACAGAGACAATGGTTGTATATATATATATATAAAATATAAACAAAGGTTTAATAATATATATTAAATATATTAGTCCATAAATAAACTCAATACTCGTAAAAGTAATTTTATTAAATATCTGTTAACAATCATTATACAGTTTAAATCAAACCTCATAAAATAAGATCTTGTATTAGTATATATTTATCATTATTACTTTCTTTATTATTATTTATTTATATAATTACTTTCTTTATTATTATTAATTTATACAATTACTTTATTTATTATTATTAATTTATATAATTACTTTCTTTATTATTATTAATTTATATAATTACTTTCTTTATCATTATCAATTTATATAATTACTTTCTTTATTATTTTCAATTTATATAATTACTTTCTTTATATAATTACTTTCTTTATTATTTTCAATTTATATAATTACTTTCTTTATCATTATTAATTTATATCATTACTTTCTTTATTATTATTAATTTATATAATTACTTTCTTTATTATTTTTAATTTATATAATTACTTTCTTTATTATTATTAATTTATATAATTACTTTCTTTATTATTATTAATTTATACAATTATTTTCTTTATTATTTTTAATTTATATAATTACTTTCTTTATCATTATTAATTTATATAATTACTTTCTTTATTATTATTAATACACAAACAGAAAGTTAACAAAACAACATTATTGACTTCATTTCTTTAGATTTTTATGTTTAAATTCTGAGTTTTAGGTTCATAGTAACATGTTTTAGGTTCATAGTAAAATGTTTCAGGTTCATAGTAACATATTTTAGGTTCATAGTAACACGTTTCAGGTTCATAGTAACATTAGGTTCTGTTTTAATATTTCTAGATTTTCAGTTATGTGCTTTACAATTATGTGACATATGGTTTTTATAACAAAAATTTACTGTGAAAACCAACATATTTCTTTAAAATAAAAATAAAACAGGACATGTCTACTCTTCTAGAACACCTGATATCACTTTACTCCTGTATTTCTCAACAAAAAGCTAATATTGTATGTAAGTATGAACATTTCAATGTCTATTTCTATACAATACAATAAATAATAATAAAATTATAAATATGTGGTTGAATCCAAAGTTTAAACTTAACATAAAATTTGAAGGAGAGAAAAATTGAATGCAGCAGACTGCTATCCAATGATTTTAGACAGACCAACCCAAAATAGGAAATATAAAAAGAAAAGTCCCTTTAAATTTCACACCCTATAAGATAGATAAGATCAAAATACACAGGAGTGTCTTTTAAAGTGACAGTATGAAAGATTATGATAAACAATCAACAATAAGAACAGCTAGACCATATTCTACACAACTCTTAAACCAAACAATACGTTGTCAGTTTAATTCACAAAAACAAAATCCAAATACATACAATTAATTGATCACATAATAGAGTTAGGTTTGTCAAAGCACCTGATGGAACTATTAAGATAGGTATAGCATTGCAGTGCACAATGAAGCAAATAAGGACAGTGACATAAGCCTAGTTTAAGGGACCAATGCGGTCTTTTTCATAGTCTCTCAATAAGAGTAAAACTAACCTGTCACATGACGGTCTAAACCCAGCTCACGTTCGCTGTTGGTGGGTGAACAATTCAACGCTTGGCGAATTCTGCTTCGCAATGATAGGAAGAGCCGAGATTGAAGGATCAAAAGAACGTCGCTAATTCAAAATGTGATCGCCACTTTAAAGTTGGATCATGAGGAAAGATAAGTCTTATCTATAGTGAGTTTAACAGAGATAAATTTTCACTGTATACACCATGATAATAATATTCTAATACCCTTATAATAATAACTCTCCCAGGGTCTAGGTTAGGGTCAAAGTTCACCTCATTATCTCCTACCTACCTACCAACAGGGCAATAACCTACTTATTTACCCTGATAAATTTTCTTCTCCCTTCTAAAATGTCACAGACCTACGGTGGGGGCTTCTCTGATATACTTGCTCCAGACACAAAGATGCAAAGCTATTTCACTCAACCCAAAGCACAAAAAAGCAAAACTATGTTTCATTTGATGCGAAGAAGCTAAGGTATCCTGCATGCAGTAGTCTCAAAAAAAAATTACAAAGCCTTCCCTGCCCTAGACTCAAAGAAACAAAGCTATCCCTGCAGCAGTCTCAAAGCCTATAAGAGAAAGTAATAGTCAAAACTATCCAGTTAAACAGATCAGTTTAAATAAATGACCAGACTGTAAAAAGATATAAGCATGACATCTTTATCATATTTTTTTAGTCTAAAATTAGGGAATTTCCCCAAATTTCTCAAACTAAAGATATTTATCACTGAAATCAATACAGCAGATAAATCTTGTCTCTTAAACCATGTTTTTATCATAATACAAAACTCAGCCTACTAATTTTACAATCCTTTATGCAAAAAAACCATAAAGACATTGAAAGGGAAAGTTTCAGGTCAATTTGAGAATTGTGAAAAAGGACCACAAAAATTTTTAAAAAAATACCTCCATTCACCAGTCAATAAACTTCTAAATGAAAGAAAATTACAAAAAATACCTCTCTCTCAAAATGGAAGATGATTTTTGTTGAATCAAGCGATTTAAGGAACAACTTTGAACGATTATGAAGTCTAACCATCTACATCTTGTAAATGTCATTTAGCAAGTTGAATTATCTTCTATGCTATTAGGTGCTGTGGGTTTCAATTCGACCTAAGGTACCAATCAGTAACATTTTGATGCCATGGCCAATGCTTTCATGTTGAAATCTTGTGTCAGTTTTTATGCCTTGTAACTAGACCTAAGTTTTATTCATGTTTTATCAATTCTCTCAAATATTAAAATAAATAAACTCAACTTTAATGAAGCTTGCTTAAAATCAAGATAATTTCCTCAAAAACTCAAAAATAGAGGAACACATGCCTTTTAATTAACTTTGCCAAAAATCAAGGCTCAAGTTCTGATATTTCCCTCAAATTATTTTATACAAAAATAGAGGAACACTTTCCTTTAATAACTGCTTATGATCCTTGTGATCAAATAACAGGAAAAAGTGTATTATAAACTCATAATGATATTGACAAGTCAACCTTGAAATGTAATGTTTAGTAAGGTGTACAGGGTAAAACAGGGAGTGGTTCTTTTCACATTTCTTTAATATACAAGTCTACTACTGTTAGATATCTTATTAGGTGTAGGGCATCTGCCTTTAATAACCATCATTATGTATCAATAATAGTGAATAATTGGACAAAAGGACTTCAAACTAAAACACAGAGTAAGCACGCTCAATGAAAAGCAAGAAGATATTTAAAGGGACTAACTGTAACATGTGTATTTATTCAGTTTAAATGATATAACAGATAGTAAATATCAGTAAAATAATATATCCTAGAATATAATAACAATCACTTATAAAGAACAGGATACAAACAAATATTACCAGAAAATCAAATTTATAAATAGTTGTTTATACAGCAAGAATTAAATAAGATTGTATTCATCTACTTCCTGTTGATATGATTCACTTCCGAATCATGATTTAACTTTATTATTTCAAAACTCAAAGTTGGGGTGGGGGAGGGGCAATTCCCCACCCCCACAAAAATTTTGATAAAAATATGAAAAGATATATTTTTGAGTGTTTTGTCTTTCATCATATTTAACTTTGTCATTTTTTAGTATAAATTAGACTAAGACGAGAAAGAGGAGAGGGCATTCCCCACCCCACAGGCCATAATTTACAACCCCAATAAGGGTCTAGTCCCCATTCATACAAATGATCTCAACTACCACAAGTTTTGATTTAAAATATATGTAAATAAATACTAAATTTTCTGCCATTCAAAATATTGATTATCTATGAAATAATGTGTTGCATCACAAAACAATATCAAAATACTTCAGAAATATCACAAGTCTAAAGTAGTGTCAATTCAAATTTCAGAAATAGAGGGAAGAAATGAAACAGAGTTTTACATCCTATATTCGGTTCGAAATTGAAATTGAAAGTGTTTAAAAAAAGTTGCTCAAAATCTGCCTT